GAGCTTCAGTGGCATCCAGTATGTTCACAATATAGTGCAACCATTTCTTTCCTCTAGTTACAGAATATTTCTTGCCACCATCCCTGAAGGAAACATGATACTCACTGAATAAGCCCCTTCTCTTGTCATTTGTCCTGGGAACTGAGTCTGTGAATTTGTCTATTCTAGGTAGGTTTAAAAAAAAAAAAATGAAGCGTGTTAGCTACTTGCCCCATTGCTATGACAAAATTCCTAACATGCAGCTTAAAGGAGAAAGGGGCTTACTTTGGTTCACAATTCTAGGATGCAGTCCACTGTGGCAGGGAAGGCATGGGAGAAGGAACTGGAGGATGTGGTTCACAGTGGGTCTGCAGTCAGGACAACTGGGGGCTGCGGTGTTGTCACCTACAGTGTGGTTCTTCCTACCTCAGATGATAGAATCTAGGTAATCCCTCACAGATATACCCAGAGGCCAGCAAACTCTAGACACCTCTCAGGCATGCCTAAGGCTTATCTCCCGGATGATTGTAGACTCTGTCTTACTGACCACAGTCTTAATTACCCCATGGTTTGGGTTTGTTTTGTTTTTTTTTTTTAACAATGCAACTTGTTTTACTTTAGACAAGAGTTTATGTAGCCCAAGGTAACCTTGAACTCAAGGTCCGTCTGCCCCAGCTTCCCAAATTTGGGGATCACAAGCAACTGCTGCCATGCCTGAACACAATATAATATACACCTTTATGTCAACTGATTTCACAGGGGCATTCAAATTCCTAACTTCTCTTCAACCTCTGGAACCAAGCTTGGTGCATATTCCCACAAGCTAAATGCTTTACAGGCAGCATGTGAGAAGCAACTAACTCTTCACAGTCCCAAAGAGCTCTGTCCTCCATGTCTCCCTCCTGGCTTCTAGGGCATTTGAGTTCAAGTCCAGATTTAGCGGTCTCTCACACTCCTCTGCTTTTTCCTCTAGGCAGTGAGACCACCAGAAAGAGGAGAAAATAGGAGAGAGGGTGTACTGGCTAGTTTTACGTCTACTTGACACAAGCTAGAGTCATCAGAGAGGAGACAACCTCAATTGAACAGCGGCTCTGTAAGATGAGGCTATAAGACATTTTCTTAACCAGTGGGGAGGGCCCCGCCCGGGGCCCGCCCCGCCCACTGTGGGTGGAGCCATCCCTGGGCTGGTGGTGTCAAGTTCTATAAGAAAGCAAGCTGAGCAAGCCATGAAGCAGCATGCCTCCTTGGCCTCAGCATCAGCTCCTGCCTTCAGGTTCCTGTCCCAGCTGAGTTCCTGTCCTGATTTCCTTCGATTATAAATAGTGCAGCAAAGAACAAGCCAAATAAACCGTTTCCTCCCCAAGTTGCTTTGGTCACAGTGTTTCATCGCAGCTATAGAAACCCTGACTAGGACACAGGACAAGGGGAAAAGAATCCCATCTCTCCCTGTTAGTATAAACCTCTTGGCTTCTGTGAGCTTCAGATTCCCCAACTTCCAAAAAGCTATACGACCTGCCTGGGGACAAACATCTAACTCAGTTGGCAGAGGTCCAGAGTTCAATCTCCAGCACAGAATAAACTGAGTACAGCTGGCACAACCTGTAGCTCCGACACTCACTTGGGAATTGGAAGTTGGAGCATCAGGAGTTCCAGGTTATTCTCAGCTACATGGAGAGTTTGAGGCCAGCCAGGGATATGCACGTTCCTGTCTCAAAACAATAACACAAGTCTGTGATGTTAAGTGTAAAGCACTTAGACACATTGCCACTCCCGTCCCTGTTGGTAACAGGGACTCACGACAGCTCTCTTTAAATATTCAAAAATAAGAAAAAAGATTAAGGTAGGTTAAGCGATGTGTTAACGTCAACTCAGCAAATCAGAGGCCAGTGGTGAGTCCCCCACCCCCACCCCCATTGCCCTTGATAAAACTGAAAGTCAGCATTCCAGATAGGACCATAAAAGATTTTTTGCAAGCCTGGGAACAGAGGCTGGCAAAGAAACAGGTTTAGCCTGGAGGGGAACGATATTTGTTCTTGAGTAACTTCACCCTCGGTTTATGCAAGCAATGGAGTTACTGATGTCAAAGTAGTTTGGTTAGAGTGGAGAGAAAATTCCTTTGATGTGCCCCAGGCTAGATCAATACCCTAGCCAGTTTTACTATGCCTGTTCCCCAGTTAGAGGGCTTCTCGCCCCTGAAGCCAAAGCAAAGGGACAACTGCTATTGGCTTTTCAGAGTCAACTATTGATTCTTGAGACAGTCTGTAGATTGCCTTTTACAGGCATTATCACTTAAACTACATTTAAAGAAACAAAAGAAAAAAAAAAACAGCCAGGCAGTGGTGGTGCATGCCTTTAATCCCAGCACTTGGGAGGCAGAGGCAGGTGGATTTGTGAGTTCGAGGCCAGCCTGGTCTACAAAGTGAGTTCCAGGATAGTCAGGCTTACACAGAGAAATCCTGTCTCGAAAAACTAAAAAAAAAAAAAAAAGTTTAAAAGCAGCAAATCCTTACAGCTATGCAAATAGAGGAAAGTTAAATGATATACTACAGGGAACCAGTAAATCAGAGTCCAGCAGTGAATTCCCCATTGCCCTTGACAAAGTTGAAAGTCAGCATTCCAGACAGAGATTTTTGCAAGCCTGGGGATATTGGATGGTTAGTTAGGGTTTTACTGCTGTGAACAGACACTATAACCAAAGAAGTTCTTATAAGGACAGCATTTTAATTGGTGCTGGCTTACGGGTTCAGAGGTTCAGTCCATTATCACTAAGGCAGGAGCATGGCAGCATCCAGGCAGGCATGGTGCAGGAGGAGCTGAGAGTTCTACATCTTCATCTGAAGGCTGTTAGCAGAATACTGACTTCCAGGCAGCTAGGATGAGGGTCTTAAAGCCCACGCATAAAGTGACAATCCTACTCTAACAAGGCCATACCTCCTAATAGTGCCATTCACAGGGCCAAGCATAGTCAAACCACCACAGATGGCAAGGACATTAGGGGCTGACAAAGGACACTCCGAGGGTTGAGGCACTGTCTGCCAAGCCTAATGACTTGAGTTCAACCCCCAGAGGCCACAGGATAGAAAGGAGAAAGCCAGTCCCGCCAGCTATCTTTTGACCTCTGTGTGTGCTCTGTGACACACACAGTGTAAAGAGCAGAGATATTATTAAGTGTTCAAATCTCACCCTTCCCTAAACATTTCACTGTTGGTATGACCCTCAGTGTACCTTCCATAACTGTGTGTGTGGTAGGTCCTCACATATGTCCTTCCCCATCCCAAGTCTAGTGACTTTCCACTGGCAGCTTGAAATGGGCCACAGGGAGTGCTCTCCACACAGAACCCAGGATACAAACAGAGGCTGAGGCGTGTCTCCTCCGTTCTCTAAGCAGGAGTTGGCAAGTGACATCCTCGGCTCAAATCTGGACCACTGCTTTTTAAATTTTTGGATTAACATCTTTTTTGTTTTTGTTTTGCTTTCTGTTGCTATAAATTATTAATCTACTCGAGCTCCCAGTGGGTGGCCTCAAGCTTTATGCTGCCAGCCCTAGATGCTCTGGATCTCAGACAGAAACACACACACACACACACACACACACAGAGAGAGAGAGAGAGAGAGAGAGAGAGAGAGAGAGAGAGAGAGACTTTATGTTTTAATATGTCTTGGCTAGCTCAATGGTTGGACCACTTTTGAATTTCCATATGGCTAACATACTCCCCTCTGATATTCCTGAGTTAATACTTGCTAAATCTATATTTCATCTCTGTTACCCCAGACCCAATCTGGGGAGTGGCCCCTGGGACCGATTTCCCCAATTCTTACATGTCAGGAGGCTCTCCCTCTTGTACGTCCCTACCAACCCCCATGGTCTGTCTCCTTCCCCTCCTAATGGTGGAATCCTTTCTTCCCTTCTCCTGCATTTCTTGCCCAGGAATCCTAAAAGTCCAGCCTCTGTTTCCCTGCCCAGCTGGATAGAGAAGTCAGTTGTAGGGATTCAAAGGGACCTTGAACATTTATTTCTACTCCGCTCTGAAGCAGACTTATCCACCTCACTGGGATGACTTGGCCCAACTCGACTGCTGCACTGATCAATTACCACATGTGCACTGCTCTGGGAAGAAAGGAGCCTGGAGCAATCTATAGGTGAGGTGGACCTGGTGGGACATGGGAGACGACAGCTGGCCAACCTCCCCACAGCAGGACAGGAAGTGCTTCCCTGAAGAAGAGTGTCAGCAGTGGTTATCGCAAGGTGCACTGTCTGTGGGGAATTTTAAAATATTGGGGAGTTAGAAACCTGGCTTGGTAGTGAGGACCTGCAATCCTGACTCTCAAGGGGAATGGCAGGTGGATCAGAAATTCAAGGTTACCTACCACTACATTAACAAGCTCGAGGGCAGCCAGGGATTCGATAAAGCCCTCTCTCAAAAACAAAACAAAACAAAACACTCTTGTGTTGGGCAAGGTGTTTTACACCTGGGATCCTCTACTGAGATAGGAGGACCAGGAGCTTTAGAGGCTAGCCTGTGCTACATACTAACTGACACCTTGGGTGAAAGAGAACCACAAACTGGGGGCCGCCAAAGATGGCTAAGTAGGTGAAAGCTTTTGCTGCCCCATCCTGGAAACTTAAGTTTGGTCCCCAAATCCATGAGGGAGAGATAACTTCCAAGAGTTGTCCTCTGACCTTCATACGCACACTGTGGCCCATGCATACCCACAAACACAAAGTAAAACATTTTAAAACAAACTGGGGGCAGTGACTGAGAACCCACATAAAGCCAGATTCAGGAGCCAGCCCTGGTGGCACATGCCTTTAATCCCAGCATTCAGGAGGCAGATCATTGAGTTCGAAGCCAGCCTGGTCTACAGATCGAGTACCAGAAGAGCCAGGATTCCACAGAGAAACCCTGACCCATATGTATACACACATACACACACACATATGAAAAAGATATTTCTCCTTGATGGATCAGACTCCTCCACCCCAGGAAGGTGAAGAAACACTCCATGTAAATGTAGTTAGTAGCTTTGTGTGTACTGTGAATGCTAGAAAGCCAGCTCAAACTTGAGCAAACGGGACACTAGGCTCAGGGAGAAGCACACATGGAGCAAGAGGCTCAGAGACTGCAACCCTGTGACATGTCTCCACGGCTCTCCTTTCTCTGTGCTGACCTTCTCTCTCCAGACTTCAGCATGGCCACCAGAGCATCATCTGTTATGCACAGCAGATCCAGAACTCAGAGGAACTTTCTGAAGGCTAGGGCAAACTTTATCCATCCTTGATTCAGTCATGAGGATTCTCATAGGCCCGTTCTATTCCATGTAATCCACCGGCCAGAGAGGGTGCTGGACAGGCAATTCTACAAATGAAAAATGAAGAGCTAGACCATTACCAGGAGTGAGCCTCCGGGTCGTAAATGACACAGCCAGGAGACTCCTTGGTGTCCCCAGAGCCGAGAACACAGGGGGAGCCTCCTAGATCTAAGGGCTCTCTGCCTTAAAAGTTAGGGACACTGAGACCTAGAGAGAAGCTGAGGACAGCTTAAGATGACAATCCACAGTGCCCAGAGCTCCTGTGTCCCCTGTCATCAACCTCTGGAGTCTCCAGGACTTCACTGATGCCTGGAGATACAGTGGGCTGTCACCCCAAAGTTCAGGATAAAAGCACTATACCTCAAAAGATAAAAAACAGCCCCACCCAAATGGCCTCGCCCAGCTGTGCCAACACGGATAACCAGATGAGCTGAGTGCCCAGGCACACTTCACCTTCTGTGTCTCCAGCTGTGACCTGAGCCCTGGCTTGGGACAAGTGTACAGCCTGCTGAGGAGAGAGACATTCTCCATACAGAGGTGCACCCCCAAAGCCTCACTATTTCTGTCTACTGCTATCTTCCTTTTATCCAGTAAAAATTTAAATTAGGAGCTAGAAAAAGGGCTCAGTGGCTAAGAGTATTACATATGGAGCTTGGTTCCCAGCACCCATGTTGGGCAGCTCACAAATGTCTGTAATTCCAGCTCTAGGAGATCTGACAACCTTTTCTGGTCTCCATGGGTACCTGTAGGTGTGTGCATGTACACACACATACACACACACACACACACACACACACAATAAATTTTAAATTCATAGCTGGGGATACAGCTTAGTGGTAGTGTGCTTGCATACATATATGATGTCCTAGATCAATACCCATTATGACAAAAATAAGAGATCTTAAAAGGGTCGGACTCTAGCAATGGAATAATCCACTGAGTAGAAGGAGAACCTTCAGGATCCAAGCATTTCCCCTAAAACCTCAGCTCTGAACGACAGTTGCTTCGGAGACCAAAGCCTTAAGTCTGTGAGCATGCTGGGGAGACGCTTCACACCCAAACCCCAACAGTTGTCACGGCAACCCTGTGGAGGAGGCACCACAACCATCCCCATCCTACAGGCACCGAGCCTGTAAAGAGCCCAGGGAAGTCAAGTGGCTGCCCTCAGGATGCTCAGCTCCTAACAGGGGGATGCAGAGACTCTAGCGGCTGCCTAGCCAAGGGCCTTCTACACGGGAAGCTGAAAGAAGAACCTGAGTCTGACGCCAGCCTGGGTTTCACACTAGGTCCTGTCTCAATACACAAACAAACTTAAATAAAATAGAGCAAAAGAAATTCCTTTGGGTTAAAATAGAACACCTACTCTGGAGGTACACAGATTTCCCATTTAGACTGTCAGTGAATGTTCCCATGGTGACCACATTTGGTTAATGATTCCCAGACCAGTGACATTTCCAAACCCAATCTCTTCTTTACCACCCTGGCAACCCCTAACCTAGAGGTCACAGCATTTAGGAATACACACTCCACTCTAGACACACCTACTCTTGGATAGGCTGCTGTCTTTGTTCTAGTTCTCGTAACTATGCAACCTCTTAAGTGGATTTTGTTTTGCTCTGAAATGTATTTATATTGTTTTTAATTACATGTATAGGAGGGGGGCGATATGCAAACCACTAAACAGATCCTCATAGAGGCCAGAGGTGTTCTATCTATCCTCTTAGAGCTGGACATTCAGGTGATTAGGAACCAGCAGATGGGGGTGCTGGGAATCGAACTCAGGTTCTTTGAAAGAGCAGTACGTGCTCTTAACCACAGAGCCAGTCCCTTAAGTGGTTCTTCCCACTTCCAACCTCCCGAGACAAGTTTCTCTATGTGGTCCTGGATGTCTTAGAACTGAGATATCCTACACCCTCTGCCTCCTGAGTGCTGGATTTAAAGGCGTGAGTCACCATGCCAGTTCCTTAGGTGTTTTAAATAAAATTCTTTCCTTTTTTTAAATTAATTTATTTATTCAATGTATATGAGCACACTGTCCTTGACACACCAGAAGAGGGCATCAGATCCCATTACAGATGGTTATGAGCCACCATGTGGTTGCTGGGAATTGAACTCAGGACTTTTGGAAGAGCAGTCAGTGCTCTTAACCACTGAGCCATCTCTCCAGCCCAAATTCTTTCTTTTTTAAAGGTAAGATCCTAGCCGGGCGGTGGTGGCGCACGCCTTTAATCCCAGCACTTGGGAGGCAGAGGCAGGCGGATTTCTGAGTTCGAGGCCAGCCTGGTCTACAGAGTGAGTTCCAGGACAGCCAGGGCTAAACAGAGAAACCCTGTCTTGAAAAACCAAAAAAAAAAAAAAAAAAAAAATAAAGGTAAGATCTTGCTATATAGCCCAGACTGGCCTCAAATTCACATATGGCTTCTTGTTTCAGTCTCACAATGACTGGGATTGAAGACATGTACCATAACACACAGAAAGAACTGTAGGCTTTGATTTTTCAAAACCTACTTTAATAAGTGTTCTTATATGCCTTAACCCCACCCCCTTCTACCTTACCACCCACCAGAGGTAGTGGAAAAGAAAGATTATTAGGACACGGGGGAAGTGGACCTGTTTAGAAATAGTTCTTTGGAGCGCTTCCAATCTTCGTCATCAGAATATCAGTAGTTCAATCCACTAGCAAACCATTAAACACAAATCAGCAGATGCAGCCCAGTCCACTGGGCAGACACCACACACCAATCAGCTATGGCAGCTTGATCAAGAATCAGCCTCGAGGCTCCCACAGACTGGCTTCATTCTGAGGAAGTGACAAGAAGCAGCTGGTATATCACAAGAAGCTCTTTGGTGACTCACTCTCTACAAAGTCTTGACAAGCGAAGATCAGCAACGAGGTCCAACCAGTGCCAGAGCGCGCTCAACGGAGACCAGCAAAGCAAAGAGCAAGCCTCGTCCCGTCTGTGGTCACACTTATATTCTTTCTAAACATCTCGTGTCTTTTCATTTGTCTGCTTCAGCAAAACATCCTTTCACCTGTCTGCCCCAGCAAAACATCATTATGACCTGAGTCTCCAAAGAAACCAGAAATTTCCACTTCATGAAACACGTCTGCTTCTAACGGCACTGTCTTTAGAGAACGTGCTACAGTTACACTGTTTTTCCAGAGACGAAGAGACAGGGTTCATGCAGCTGAGGTTAACCTTTAGTTCCTGATCCCCCTGTCTCTACTTTTGGGTTTCTGGGCTTACTGGCTCCAGCACTGTGCAATGCTAGGGTTCAAATGAAGGGCTTTTATGCAACCTGAGCCCTCTATCAACTGAGCCACATGCCCAGTCCTAATTCTCCTCTTTGTAAAAGGAAGAAAATGTAATGTGGTTACCTGATCTGATGTCTGCTATTCTGCTTTCATTCTTTATGTCACACCCAAGACTCTGTCTTCCTGGGTGCCCACAAGCTGATCTTTAAAATGGAATCACTGTTTACAAACCCTCGTGCACTCACAAGGAGACGACACTGGCTGGGATACTCCAGATATAAAGTACTTGCTGAGCAAGCCCACAGACCTGAGATTAGATCCCCAGAAGCCATAGAGGGGCTCCGACACCAGTGCTGCTACACCAAGAAAGGAGATTCCATGAACACTCTCGGAGCAGCTAGCCTGGCTTACACAGCCTAGAGAAGGAGATTCTTTCTCAAACAAGATGGACGGCAAGAACCAACACCAGACAGGTAGGGGAATATAGACCCATATCAGATTCACACACACGAAGATGAAAGGAGGGAGGAAGGCAAGGAGGGAGAGGGAGGGAAAGGGAGGGAGAGATAGGGAAAAGAAACCTGACGGGCTGGAGAGATGGCTCAGTGGTTAAGAGCACTGATCTTTCTTCCAGAGGTCCAGAGTTCAATTCCCAGCAACCACATGGAGGTTCACAACCATCTGTAATGAGTTCTGGCGCCCTCTTCTGGCCCGTAGGCATATTGCAGGCAGGATGCTGTATGCATAATAACTAACTAACTAACAAACTAACTAAATCTTTAAATAAAATAGGAAGAGTCTTCCTTTGGCTGCCTTTGTCTCAAGATGTAGAACTCTCAGCTCCTTCTATAGCACCATGACTGTCTGTATACTGCTATGTTCTTACCTTGATGATACTGGACCGAACTTCTGAACCGGTAAGCCAGCCCCAATTAAATGTCCTTTATAAAATAAAAAAATAAATAAATAAATAAATAATAAGAAACGTGATTTGGACTGAGTGTATAGTTCATTGGTATAATTTCATTTTTAATATTTTAAGCACACATACTTACATCTATTTACTTATTTATTCACGTGTGTGCACACACGCAAGCCACAGCACGAGATAGAGGTTGAAGGGTAACATGTAGGAGTAGGTGATTTCCTTTGATTAAACTCCAGTCGTCGGGCTGATTGACAAGTGCCTTCACCCGCTGAGCCATCTCACCAGCCCAGTGGTAGAATTTTGAAAAATGCCAACACTGTGGGAAAGTTTAACAATTTCTCAAAATGGCAGAACACTTGCCCAGAGGCTTCTATCCCCCGCCCTCCAGGCTCTATATATGTGTATACATGTTAGCCAGTGTGAGTTTATGTGTGCTGTACGGAGGGTGTCGGGTCCCCAGGGACTAGAATTAGAAGCAGTTGTGAGCTGCACAGTAGGTAGGAGGAACTGACCCTCCCTCCCTCCTTCCCTACCCCTCCTCACTCTCTTTTGAGACAAGGTTTCTCTATGTAGCCCTGGCTGCCCTGGGTCTCATTCTGTAGACCAGGCTGGCCTCAAACTCACAGAGATATGTCTGATTCTGCCTCCTGAGTGCTGGGATTAAAAGCATGTGCCTCCACCACCAGGCAAGCAGTAAATATTTTTAACCACTCTCCAGCCCCAACCTCTTACACTTTAAAAACAAAGCAAACAAACAGAGTCTGTGTACAACCAACCCAGAAAATCCCCAAATATGTTGAATGAAAAATCATATTCACAAGCCTACATACTACGTGATCTATCTACACGCTCTTCTGGGAAAGGCAAGAATAGAGGATCCATGGCATGTGGTACACATACATACACGCAGGTACATGAGCATACATATTCAATTAAATGATAGATAGATAGATAGATAGATAGATAGATAGATAGATACATACATACATACATACATACATACAGGGTAATATAAAGAGTGGTCACTAGGCATGGGGAGAGAGGAGAATTGGAGTGGAAAAGTGGGTGAGGACATACTGGCGTCACCGAGTTGTTTTTACCATGACTGATGTGACAGTACCATATCAGTCAGAACATTGTCAAAAGACTGGCCCGTGGTGATCAATGCCTTGGGGGATCTGTGAAGAAGTGTTTACATTCAATGTATGAGACATGTTTATTCTTGTTGGATGTCAGGACATAGCTATAGAACTCGATCTGGTCGTGACTCTGGATCCAGCTTTCTGCCTGGCTTTCATGCTTTCCCAGATAGAACCTGTAGTATATGGCAGGCAATTGTGTTTAAATGACCTGTCCTAAGAAAGTTGGGAGAGAGGGCTACTCTGTTAATATTTAATATAGCTTACTGGTGTTTATTTACATGTTTTTCCAACCATGTTTTTCTGAACCCAAATAACCTTCCTTGGATCATTGTTTCCTTTGTTACAATCCTGTATAAAAGTACACTGAAACTGAAGTAAGTTTGTCCACAGCATCAGACTCTAGTCTGCCGCATCCTTCCGGGTCCTCGGACCCCAGGTCGGGCAGACAAGATCTGTACAGGTCTGTGAAAGTTGACAATAACTGTATGTGTTTTTGAAGTTCATAGACCTGTGCACTGAAAAGACTGGATTTCAACCTATTAAATTGTGTTTCCGTCGGTATGACACTCCCTGAAAACCTTATTTACAAAACTGTCATGTAAATTAGGATGAAAATCACTTGAATACGATTCGTTGCTGAAGCAGAAAGATTAATCAGGTGTGCAGAGAAGGAAATAGTGGAGATGCCAAGCCCGAGATGCCGGGGAAGATAGCTGGTTAGTGGCTCAGAGTCCTTGACAAGTTTTGTGTAAAATTCATATCCACTGCAACAACAAAAGTTAAAACCACCCATAAACAATTTGTATGATGACTTTTTTACATAAATGGTAACATGTTATATATGCTGTTCTGTGCCTTAAAAACAACAGCCAGGCAGTGGTAGCACATAACTTCTTTAATCCTAGCGCTCAGGAGGCAGAGGCAGGTGGATCTCTGAGTTGAAGGCCAGCCCGGTCTACAGAGCTAGTTCCAAGACGGCCAGGGATATACAGAGAAATCCTGTCTCAAAAGGCAGGGCGTGGGGGATCAGGTGGGGAGGGAAGAGTCTATTTAGTTTCTTGGACGATGCTTCTGGAACCTACCCCTTAGCACAGGGTGGCATCAAGAGCAGCAACCATCACATCCAAGCATCGCTAATCTGATGTCTAACTGAACACAACTAGAGCAGGTAGCATCAGGGAGAAACCAGAGGGCTCCAGAGGCTCAGTCCTGACAGTTCCCTCCTCCCTAGGCTCTGCCCAAAGATGGGTGAGCACCTGGTAGCATATTCAGAATATGACTGAGACCCATCATGTTTCTGAAAGGGAAGTCCAGAGGGGACAGGCGATACGCTGTCATCACCTGTGCCCAGCTGGGCCAGACATCTGCCACTCCAACCTTCTGAATCCCAAGGCTGCTCATGACGTGTTTGCTGGATTCAGGAAAGGTTGGCCTGATGCCTAGGATAGATGCCAGGCCAGGCTCCAGCAGCAGGGGGTTGACATTTGTCCCATCAAACAAAGGACAAGATGTTCCTGCTGGCCAGAGCAGCGGGAGTAGTGGATGGCCTTCTCCCCCGGTGAAACCTTCTGTGGGTGAGGGCAGTAGAGAGTCATCCAGGAGGGACAGGAATAAGGGATGAGATCACCTATCCTGCCTCCATAACTGCCCCAAATAGAGAGATTTAACAAAGGAAAAACTGATGTCTGGAATGGATAGATAAGATTCAAGTTCAGGGGGCTGGAGAGATGGCTCAGTGGTTAAAAGCACTGACTGCTCTTCCGGAGGTCCCGAGTTCAATTCCCACAAACCATGTGGTGGCTCACAGTCATCTGTAATGGGTGTAATGGGATCTGATGCCCTTTTCTGGTGCGTCTGAAGAGAGTGACAGTGCAATCGCATACGTAAAATAAATAAATAGATCTTTAAAAAAAAAGATTTAAGTTCAGAATCAAACAGGCTAGAGTTTGGTTCTCTGTTCCCGTCAGCTCAGTAGCCTATAAGACATGTTTGCTTCATTTCTACATCTTCTCGTGTGTGTGTGTGTGTGTGTGTGTGTGTGTGTGGTGAGATGTGTTGGCATGTGCATGTGGGTCGGAAGACACCCACAGGTGTTCTTCAGGCACTGTTCACCCTGCTTTCTAAGAATAGAGTCTCTGATTGGCCTGTAACTCCGGGATCCTCCTGTTCCCATCTCCCATTGCTGGGATTAAAAGTACACGATATCCACATAATACGTGTGGGTTCATGCTTGCCAGGCAAGCACCTTGCCAACAGTTATCTCCCTGGCAGGGATAACCTCTCTTTTGGGGTGGGCAGGGGTTGGTTGAGACAGGGTCTCACTATGTAGACCAACACTTGAACGCACAGAGATCTGCCTACCTCTGCCTCCCAAGTGCTGAGACTAAAGACGTGCGCCACCATGCCTTAGCATTACAACAAAAACTTAAAAGTGTGGACCCTGAGCTCAAAGTAAGCTGGCTCATTCTGCCACTTTGCCAACTGCATGGTCTGGGAACGTTCTCTGACCTGAGCCCTCAGTCAGACTTTCCACTTGTCAACCCAGCAAGAAGAGGTTTTGGGTTCCCTGGTGTGGAGCCAGAGTGAAGACAGGACGTGGGTATGTTATCCTAGAACCTTTGGGTAAACACCAGCTGTTACTAGTTCACCTTCCTAGAAAGTAAGACCTAAAAATTTGAATGAAGGGTCCCAGGCCTTTGTCCCTAAAAAGTTATCCACTCTCAACTGTCTGCCGTGCTAAGAGCCTGAGGCAGTCAGGAAGCCATAACTCCCCTGTAATAAATACTTAGGTCATAGCTTGGACAAGAACTCCTTTACTTTCCCAGCCCCTCCCTCAGCTGTCAAAATATAATAACTACTTACAACCAGTGCAAATAGAGCCGTATCATGATCCAGCTCCCCTTCCAAAGACTACACGTCATCTCAGGGATGCCCCTCCATTTGGTTCCCCCCCACTACCACCACACTGCCCCCTCCCCTTTTCTAAGACAAAGATATTGTATATCCCTGGCTTGGCTAGCCCGGCTCTTACTATGTAGACCAGGTTGGACTTGAACTGTTGGGGATCCTCCTGCCTGAATTAGTCTGTAGTGCTGGAATTACAGACCTATCTCACCACACCTAGCTGTTCCCATTTTATAGATGGAGAAACTGTGGCTCCCAAGCTTGGTGACTCTCCGCAGAAGAGGCAGAATGCAAACCCCTATACCCATGTCTCTAATGACCATGGAGGACAACAACCCTTCACCCTAAATATAATCTACATGTTTGCTTTGCAAGTTGGGTTTCAATCACCCCCAACAGCCCAGTTGATTGCCCCCGAAGCAGGTATCCCCTGGCCATGCAAACTAGCCTTGCTTTCAAAGTTTTGAATCTACATGGCAAAGACCACAGTCTCACCCCCAGAGTCTTAGAGAGCATGTGGCCTTGGCTTCCTGCCCTGCCTCTGCTCTCCCGGCCAGTGGACTGAGGCATGTCACTCTCCCTCTGAGTCTGGGACCATGAACCTGCCCTAAACAGCCAGAGCTGATTCAGAGATTCCTAAGCCCAGATCGCTCAGGGGTTAGCTCAACTCCCCACCCCCAGGAAGGCCAGGCCAGGGGCGGGTCCTGCCTTGCCAGGTGGTAAATACTCTCTCCAGCATCCCCTGGGCTTCTTGTCCCAGTCTTCCTGGTAGAGGTCTGACCACATCAACCATGGTAAGTCTGGCTGGGCTTTAGCGGTCTCCCTGAGTGCCGACCCTTGGTGACTTCTCAAGAACTCTCTTTGTCATAACCTCTCCTTTGTGCTTTCCCTTTCTCTGCTAGACAACCTACACCAACAAAGGACCAAAGGTAAGGTGGAGCAGAAATCCAGGTTCTCAGTCTAGGGGGAGGACAGGGTATCAACAGAGGAAAACGTCAGTAGGCGTGAGACACTTATGCCTGCAGACTCATTCATTCATCCTTGCCATCTTCCCCCATTGACGGAGCTGGATTCAATCTTGGCTTCCTAGCTGGGCGGTGGTGGCGCACCCCTTTAATCCCAGCACTTGGGAGGCAGAGGCAGGCGGATTTCTGAGTTCGAGGCCAGCCTGGTCTACTGAGTGAGTTCCAGGACAGCCAGGGCTACACAGAGAAACCCTGTCTCGAAAAACCAAAACAAAAAAACAAAAACAAAAACAAAAAAACAAAAAAAAAAACAAAAAAAAACCAATCTTGGCTTCCTGAGGGAGCCCCTTCCTAAATGCCTGGCACTCTCTTAAACTTTGTCAAATTCAGTCTACCATACACCCATGCTGTTCTCATGTAAGCTTATTTCCTCTGCGAACGCCGGGAAGGCCTCCTGTGGGGAATTTCCCAATTGTAAACCCTCAAGGGGGTCAAACCCCATAACAAGAAATGTCTTAGGTCAGTCAAAGACGGGAGCGGGTGAGTAACATAGTCCTAGGTTCTGGGCTTGAGGTTGGGGTGAGATGGCAAGGTAACCTACTTCCAGGAATTCAACTTCATCCTTCTTCCGTCCTTCAGCCTGAGAGAGGCCGGTTCCTCCATTTCCACTCTGTGACCTTCTGGGTTGGCAACGCTAAGCAGGTAGAAAGGCTGGAGGGGGCAGAGGACAAGACAAAGGGCCGCCTTAAGGGGGCTGGATCCAGCTGGAACTGGGATTGGCTAGTGGGAGGGGAGGATCCAGGCTAGGCTAGGACTGGCACTTTGGAACCTGTTACACAATCGGGGCCACAGACCCCAAAGGGAGGGGAGAGCTATCTTGCTTCCTGGGAGAATTTCCAAATGACGAACATGGGAGCAGACAGAAGACTGGGGCTCCCTTCTAGGGATCTCCAGGCTGGTCCCCACAAACCCCTGAGCCCCCTGCCACTTTGTGATCCAGGCTGCCTCCTTCTACTGCAACAAGATGGGTTTCGAACCGCTGGCCTACAGGGGCCTAGAGACGGGCTCCCGGGAGGTGGTCAGTCATGTCATCAAGCAAGGGAAAGTAAGTACACACCCAGGCGGCTTGGTGATGAGGGCACCAGTGTGTCCAAGAAAGGATGTGTTATTGTGTCAGGACACACACCTAGCTGGTTCCAAGATGTATGGCTAAGCTGCCACTGGCCCGTGTCCCTCACGAGCCACAGGAATTTTCCTGGTTTCGAACTCTTCTCAAACTCACCCAGCATTGGATCCATTGAAGTTCTAGCCATCTAGGATGTCGGGGAAGGGTGTTTAAGTGGTCTCTGGTCCATGGGGTTGCTGGAATTCTCTAGGCACCAATCACTGAGAACCCAGGGTGTGAATACAGGGGAAAGCCCAAAGCTTTGAGGACCCAGGGGGCAGCTGCAGCTGAAAAGGAGCTGGAACAGGTGGTCCAGGGATCTTGCATGGCGGAACCTTGTATCCCACCAGGGGTGCCATAGAGCATGCTGGGAAGATGGAGGGCAGGCCCCTTTCCCACCTCTCCTAGCCACCCATCTTGTCCCCTTGTCTACTTTTTAGATCGTGTTTGTTCTCTGCTCTGCCCTCAATCCCTGGAACAAAGGTGAGGGGCATCCCATCGGGAGGCAGCCTGACTCTGCCATTTGCTTCGTGACATGGGTTGGGGCAAGGGTGAGGCTGAGGGGCTGGGACCGGGATAGAAACTAGAAACTCACTTCCCGCATTCTCCTGCCAATCACAGAGATGGGTGACCACTTGGCGAAGCATGGCGACGGGGTGAAGGACATCGCATTCGAGGTGGAAGACTGTGAGTACATTGTGCAGGTGAGAAACACTTGGACTGACGCGGTGAGCCTCGCCGCTAGGAACCCCCTCACCAGGCAGGGCTGGATGCAGCAGCCCCGGCCACCTCTGAGTTCCGCTGACACATGCCCCGCCCCTTTCTGTGTGTCTGCTCTTAGAGCCTCTTGTCCACATCTGCAAAATGGGGATAGCCGCTGCCTCGCGGAAAGCTTGGAAAGAAAAGGGATCGAAATGATCATGTTGGCCGGGCAGTGGTGGCGCACGCCTTTAATCCCAGCACTTGGGAGGCAGAGGCAGGTGGATCTCTGAGTTCGAGGCCAGCCTGGTCTACAGAGTGAGTTCCAGGACAGCCAGGACTACACAGAGAAACCCTGTCTCAAAAAACCAAAAAACCAAAAAAACAACGAAATGATCATGTTGGGAGTCTCGGTGGGAAGGCCAGAAATTCAAAGTCGTCCTCGGCTATATAAAGTTCCGAGGCTAGCCTAAGATACACGAGACTGCACTTGAAAAGAAGAGTCTCCTTGTTTATGAGTTGGGCTCAGTGGTAGAGCACTTACCTAATAGGCGTCCCTAGCAACACACTCAACAAAAGAAAAAGGAAGCTTAGGGCTGTGTGATTTTGAGTAGGTGACTTAACCTCTCTCTGCTTCTTTCCTCCCCTATGAGATGGAGATGATAATACCACACACTGCAGGACTGGAGAGATTAACCCCTAGAATAGTGTCTGACCTGTGGTATGAGCACTGTATGATGCAGCGAGTGAGCTCCTGCTAAGAAGACATGCAAACCCCGTGTTCAGAGCACTCAGCGCAGGGCCCGACCCACTAGGTGCTCAATGAGCGGCAGTTCATATTTTGCTGTGTGGTCACTCCTTTTCTAGGAGAGGGTAGCCGAGGACGGGAGAGAGGGGGCTGGTTCAAAGAGTCAGTTGGCAGAGGCGGGGTACACACGCTTACATTCTTTGCCTCCTATAAGCACACACCTCTGACCTGTTTCTCCACCCGCCAAACGGGCACAAGTGGGCTAGGTGTTGGGTTTACATCAGGACTACCCAGAAGCCCACAGCAGGAGCAGCGCACCACACACACAAGGAGGCTCCAGCCCTCACTATTCTCCCCACTTGGTCCCCCACGCAGAAAGCCCGAGAACGGGGCGCCAAAATTGTACGGGAACCATGGGTGGAGCAAGACAAGTTTGGGAAGGTGAAGTTTGCTGTGCTGCAGACGGTGAGTGAACGCTGATATCCCACCCGGAGACCCCAGGACCCCCTCCCCCAGCAGCCGACCCATCATAACACCCATTCTCGTGCCTCAGAGTCCAGGCTTCCCCAAGCCTGACCTTTGGTAATGCTTGGCCAGTGTACAGAGGCTTCTGGGAGATACCAGGGATCTTCCCCCAGTGAAAATAACAGTTTGGGGGTATAAGCTTCAGTGGGGGTGGAGGCGTTAAGGAAAAGGGGAGAAGTGGTATCTGAGGAAGTCATACCCCACACTAGTTTGGCGTCTCTAAGCAAGGACTGGAGCGGGACATCCCATATGACCTGGGCACATACTGAACCTCCGTCTGCCACCATCTCTTCAGCTATACTCCTTCTATGTCTGGAAAGCACGTAGGAAGACAACATGGTCCACACAAGGTCGGCAAGTCTGTGAGACAGTCACAAGTCCCACTTCCTCAAAGTTACAGTCAAAGTAAAGATTGGCCCTGTTGAGGGCCTGTCATCTCAGCATCTGGGAGGCTGAGGCAGGAGGATCATAAACGCAAGATGCCTAGGATCAAGTCCAGTGGGGGGTGGGGGGGAACTCCGTGAGATTCTCAAAATCCAGACAGTGAAAAGTGGGCAGAGAGACGAGATGGTTCCGAGGGTGAAGCGCTGGCTGCACAAGCCTGGGGACCCGAGTTCAGATCTCTAGCGCGTGTGTAAAATGCCAGATGCGGCGATGCACACCTGGTACCCCAGCATTTGGGGTTAGGGAGCTGACACAGGACAATCTCTGGAATGTAGTGGTCAGCAAGCCTAGAATCAAAGAGCTACAGGTTCAAGGAGAGACCTTGTCTCAAAAAAATAAAGAGATCACGAAACACCAGTATCGACCTCTGACTTCCACACAACGGTACATACACATGCAGAGGCAAGTGCGCACACACACACAAATAAAATTTTAAAAAGATAAAATATTTTCTGTTTGTTTGGTTTTTGTTTTTCAAGACAGGGTTTCTCTGTCCTGGAACTCACTGTGTCCTGGAACCCACTGCCCAGCAAGATAAAATATTTTTAAGAAGTCAAAAGATCCAGGTGGTGTTGGCACACGCCTTTAATCCCAGCACTCAGGAGGCAGAGGCAGGTGGATCTCTGAATTTGAGGCCAACCTGGTCTACAGAGTGAGTTCCAGGACAGCCAGGGCTACACAGAGAGAAACCCTGTCTCATAAAAAGAAACAAACAAACAAACAAGGAAGTTAAAAGAGAGTTTGAATACAGGTCAGTGGTAGAGGATTTGTACAGCATCCAGAAAGCCCTGTGCTCAGAAAAAAAATAAATAAAGAGCCTTCCACTCTGCAATATAATTTAATCCACTGCTTTCACCTAGTTAGTTTTACTGGGCACCTACTATGGACTAGGCATTGAGCTAGCTGCTAAGGATACTTACAAAAAGCAAAAGCCAGGCATGGTAGATCATGCCTGCTGTCTCAGCACTTGGGAAGTTGAGGCAGGAGGATCTCCAGGAGTTTTAGACCAGCTTGGGCTACATAGACTCAATCTCAAACATAAATAAAGCCAAGAGGATGGAAACAGCATCCCCGCATGCATTACAGTCTCTGATCCTACAGGCCAACTCCCAAGCAAAATGGCAGGTGATAGAACATTCCAGAAAGAATTGTCTACTGAGTTAAAGTCAGCTTCATGGTGGAACTTACGGCTGTGCTGGTGCTGAGAGAAGAGAGGGGCCTTGCTAGAGTTGGTGGGGTGGGGGCTTCTCCCTGATCCCAGGTGCTTCCCACCCTCAGTACGGAGATACCACACACACGCTGGTGGAGAAGGTCAACTACACTGGCCGCTTCTTACCTGGATTTGAGGCCCCAACATACAAGGACAACCTACTTCCAAAACTGTGAGTACCCCTTGGTGTGGGAGTGGCAGAAAGCTATGGCCTCTTTCCATTCGGTGGAATGGGCTTCTCTGGTGGACTGGAACATCTGTAAGCATCTGGTGGGAAACTTTGGGAGGTGGGACAGGCAGCAAGCAGAGGCATAGAAGATGAAGGCCTGGGCCTCCAGCCAGACTGCCTGGATTCATGTGCAGTTCTCTCATTTCCTAACCGTTTAGCCAAGTGTGGTGGTGCATGCCTTTAATCCCAGTACTTCAGAAGGCCCAGTCTCTGTGAGTTGGAGGCCAGCCTGGTCTACATAGTGAGACCCTGTGTTGAAAGAACAAAGAACAAAACGAAAGAGACTGGTTCATAACAGCTGCTCAGTTAACTATGGCTGATGTACACAGCAGGGCCTACTACCCCATCTGAGCTACTACTGTAGATGAAGGGTTCATGGGAACGGAGAGATCTGGGGGCTAGCCTTCTCACCTTCCAACTTACTCCCTCTTCTAGACCCAGATGCAACCTCGAGATCATTGACCATATCGTAGGCAACCAACCTGACCAGGAGATGGAGTCTGCCTCCGAATGGTAAGTCCCTGGCCTGCCCCTCTCGGCGGCAGAAGACAGGCCCTCTTGCCAGATCTACTTGCTTTTTTTTTTTTTTTTTTTTTTTTTTGCCATGTGCTTACATGTGAGGTCGTGCACATCCCATCCCACAGCACATGTGGGAGACCAGAGAAGAATTGGCAAGAGTTGGTTCTCTGCATCTACCACACGGGCCCTGGGG